GTGGCTTGTGCTTCGAGCTGCGTCTTTTGTCGCTGTGCTTCGAGCTGCATCTTTTGTGGCTTGTGCTTCGAGCTGCGTCTTTTGTGGCTTGTGCTTCGAGCTGCGTCTTTTGTCGCTTGTGCTTGGAGCTGTGTCTTTTGTCGCTGTGCTTCGAGCTGCGTCTTTTGTCGCTGTGCTTCGGAGAAATGGCGAAACGACAGCAAGGCAGGCGTGGGGACTGGTAAGGATATGGTTCCTTCCCAAGTTTTAAACATCTGTTGCTCCGTAGTCGTCTTCTGCACTGTACAGATACGGCCTGCTTCACCATTCTTCACCACGCTTCTCCTTCTTTGTAGGCAACCTAAGGCTTGGAAGACAGTTTCCCTGCTGTTCACTGTGGCTGTGGTGTCCTTCGGTGAGTCTCTGTAGAGCTCTGATTTGAGGATGCTTCTTTTGGAAGCCTCCAACAATTTGTTCTGCCCAGGGATAGGGGAGTGGGCAGCCCAAGGCAGAACATTTATAGAGATGATTTATTGAGAGCTTTGTGGAATTCCTGGCAGGTCTTTACTGCGTTGGAAGTCTTGTTGCTGGAGGCTCAAGGGCAGTGGAAAAAAAGACTTCATGGTAAGAAAAGAATCTCCCTTTGGCTGGACTCTTCTTTAGAGGAGCTCGGCCCCTTGTCCATGACCACTTGTTACCTGAGTCCAACTTCTGTGACCAAGGCCCCGAGTTTCTCCCCTTCCCCATTCGAGCTGCTATCTCTCCATGTCCGTTAGTTCCCCCAAAGTTAGCCAGGAAGCCAGGAAGCAGCTTCTCGGTCAGGAGCTCTTGGAGCTTGCCAACCAGTATTGTCAACTCTCTATTAAACCTCGGTTACCCTGTCGTCACGCGGAGTGAGGCTCGTTCTCTGCCTCACATCTCACGGCTTGTGAGAAGACAGCTGTGTGCGCTCTCTCCATTAATTACCTGCTGTCTCTAGGCTGGTGGGTGATGATCTGGAAATGCTGAGGGTGGAACAAGAGCTCAACAAGATCCAGCAGCAGCTTCGTTTCCTGCAATGGGGAGCAAAGGACATCACCCTGCGTGCTCTCCACGAGGCCCTGAAGAGAAATGAGCTCCCAGGCTTTACCAGCGAGGTGAGAGGACATTGCAAAAAGCTCTGCTGAGAGAGTTCTTTCCCCACTGTGGCATTATATCTCGCTAGCGTTCCCTGTCACAGACAGCTAAAAGGCTTGTCCAGCAGGAAGAAATGCTGGTGCATCACCATCGGTCCTTTTCTCTGTTGCTCCGGAGCTCTTGTGGGGGAAAGGAATGAGCTCTGATGGGAATTTCAGATGCCTTAGTTGTTTCTTGCTCTCTGTCAGTCCTTCCCTGCACCTGCTGCTGTGCATGAGGTGGCAGGTTCCCCTGGAAGACCTGTAAGCCAGCACCCTGAGTTGAGCCTGGCTGCCCTGGGTGCCTGGGGCCTGTGCAGATGCACAGGAGACGCTGTGTTTCAGTCTCCCCGTGGGGCATCCAGTCTGAAGGCTGTTCTGGTTTCAGGGCCCTTGCTCTGTGGATACCGTCTCTTTTGGTGGCTTGAGCTCGCACGGCCCCAGGTCTGCCCGAAGCCTGAGCTGACGGTGATTCCCGTGATGGGAATCTCAAAGGCCATGTTAGCCCGAGGCTTGGCAGGCATTAGTTCCTTCTGCGTTTTGCCCTTCTTCCCCATTGCAGTAGGCAAGCTCTGTCTTCTGCTTTAAGTTAACTCTCTGTGTGTGGCTGGCCTGCAGCAGTTGTGGTGACCTCTGGGCAATCCCTGCCTCGTGCCTGACTCGAGCCCCATCTCCTGGCCAGCAGGACTGTCAGCGCAGCCTGCCTGTCATGGGGCATCTCGACAGGAAAAGCCCATTCGTGCCGCATCCGTGTCCAGTGTGCTGGAGTGAGCAGCCTCTCTGTTCCCGTGCCAGATGGTCATAGTAGAGCTCTGGAGGTTCGCAGGCAACTCCCAGGCAGTGTGAATTACATCCAAGTGGAGCAGCCGAGTTTGCTTTGGCAGGCTTTGTAGGGGAGCTGGGAGGCAACTCTTTTCCCTTTTCTTTTCCTTCTGACGACGAGCGCTCTCGTTTGTCTTTCTTCCCAGGCTGTTCAAGAGATGATCGATCACGTCCTGGAGAAGCTGGAAGAAAGCCCATTCCAGATGCGTAATTATGCCAGCAAAACTTCAGGTGCCGTTAAGCTGTAGAAACAACCAGACCACAGATGGTGGTTCCAAAGGGCGTCTTGTCCAGTTTGACAGGACGGGCATTTGGGCAGGGTAGGGGAGAAGGGGTGAGGAGTGAATGGCCACCTTGTGCCCTGAGAATGTGCTTGCTGAGAGAGCCTTCAGCGGGCTGGAGCACATCTGAAAAGCGCTACTCCTACTTGGTGTTGTTTCTCACGTGACTGCTCAGCTGGCTGTCAGTTTATGTGGCCCCTTAGGATAGCTGAGCGAGTCCCTGCATTGTGTTGCAGAGGGATACGGCAAGTGAGAACGAGGGGAATATCACTGTTGGGGATGTATGGCTGCCTTTGAAACTCTTTTGAAGAGGACAGTGCAAAGGCAGCCGGCATTTCTGTGCAGCTGTTCATGTGGAAAGCAGAGTCAGCAGCCCTTGGTTCCTCCTGGCCTTGCTTGACCACTGTGCCCGTGTTTTTATTTGCAGGAGCCGCTATCGTTCGTTCCAAGACTTCTCCCTCCTGGATTGGATGCGGGAAAGTCTTCTGGCACTCGTTGCTGGTGACACCATATATGAGGCCTCCTGAGATTATTCTTGAGGTAAGAACAGTGTGAAACAGAGGAAGAATGGTGCGGGGCAGAGGGGGCCAAACGCCCTGCTGAGGGTTGCCTTTACCCTTGTCTTCACCCCTTCTTGCGAGGACCTACTCCCCTCTTGTGTATCCCGGCAGAGAATTTCTTCTGCCAGACTGCCCCAGGTCCTCTGTGGAAGCTTCTGCCAGGCTAGCTTGCTTGTCTTCCCAGCCATTGTGGAGCTGTCTGGCCGGCACTGAAGGGGAACCCATAAGGTGCCACGAGAGATCTGGGCTGCGAGAACGCTGGGGCTCTTAATGAACCCCAGAGGGCACGGAGGGCGTGCACTGCAGGAGGGCCCCATGTTGTGTTTGCCAGCCCATCCTGGCACTGCTCCTGAGCTACCGGCACAAGTCGGAGCCCTGGCTGGTGCCGGGGGAAGGGGGTGGGACTGGATGAGAGGGAGCGATTGCTTCCCCTTGCAGGAAAGGCTCGTGCAGGTGGGCCCTTCTTTGCCCGGGGCAGGTGCATTTCAGCCACAGCAGCCCCTCTTTTTTATTTTTTGCAAGCTGCCCCACAAAAGAAGGAGCCCAAGAGCTTCTGCAGGTTGTGCACCCAGCTCACCGCCATGCCCGTATGCCTGTGCTTTGGAGCAGAGCTGATGGGCCAGTGCACCTGCAGAGCCCCTGATGCTGCAGCAGGATTTTCAGCCAGGACGCTCTTTTGCACATGAACGCTGTTTCTTCTTCTCTTTTCAGCCTGACAATCAGCCAGGTAACTGCTGGCCCTTCCCAGGAAGCCAAGGGCACGTCTTCATCAAGTTGCCCAGGGCCATCTTTCCCACGGCAGTTACGTTAAACCATGGAGTTCCAGCAACGGCCTACCATGCAGACAGCACCTCCAGTGCTCCTAAGGACTTTGCTGTCTATGTAAGTGATTCCTCTGGGTTGTGGCGGTAGTTTTGCGTAGCGTTTGACGTGGAGGGTGGTTGCAGATCCAAGAGGGCTGCTGCGTGCAGTTCTTCCCTGCACAGGGCGAGTAACAAGCTCCTCAGAGTTGCTCCATTTCCACAGCGTTCCTTTTTTGTCCAAGGTAGCACAGCAAAGAGGGTTTCCCGCTCTTGGGGCGAGTTGGTAGTTTGAGAGGCAGAGGGAAAGGGAAGTGGCACAGTGGATGGTCCTAGACCACCTTTGCTTCAGAAAGCCCTGTGGGGCTTTGTGATCCTCTTGCAGCAGCGCATCCCACTGTTCTGTTTTCTCCACCCCTGTCTTCCTGTAGGGCCTGCAGGAAGAAGGTGACGAGGAAGGAACTTTGCTAGGAGAGTTCACCTTCACGCCAGGCCAGGATCCCAGTCAGACCTTCCAGCTGCAGGTAAGGTTACAAAGAGGGGCGTGAAGCGTGGGAGAGGGGAACCACGGTTGGCTGGGGAAAAGCTTCCAAGCCTGAGGCGTATGGGGGCCCTCTTGCATTTCTGCTGCTGCCTCTATACTGCCTGCATATGCCCGGACTGCTGGGCTGTTTCTGTTTCCTTCTGGCTTTTAAGCTTCAGAGCTGCTTCAGCTTATAGCACCGCTAAGCTCCAGCTACACTTGCAGCAGAAATTGCCATGACCAGGTGGCTTCCAATTGCACACAAGCGGCTGCCTCACGTAGGGTGCAGTACTGTTGGCGGGCTACTTTCACACTGGGGATGTGTGACTTTCCAAGGATTTTGTCGTTGCCAGTAATGGGCAGCATCAGGGAGGCCATTCTGATGGGTGACATTCTAGAGAAAGCAGTGAGAGTTACGACCCCTGTGTTGTTCTGTGCGAGAACACACACTCAAAGCAAGTGCAAAGAACTTGGCAGTGTATTTGCTGCAGCTTTTGGTAGCTGTTTATTTCTTTAAAACTCACGTGGCCAAAGAGGTGGAGCAGGGTAAGAAATGTCTTGATTGCGCTATGGCAGCTTATCAGCTTGTCAGAAGACCTAGCAAGGCAGCCTGAAGTAGGATGTTGCGTGAGTGTGTCACTCCTGCATTGTCAGTGGCCAAAGAGGAGAGAGGAAAACACAGTTCATTTCTTTTTCTCATTGCAGAATGAGCACTCCGGGTTCATCAATTACATCAAGCTGCGAGTGCTGAGCAACTGGGGCCACCCGGACTATACCTGTGTGTATCAGTTCAGGCTCCACGGCAATCCAGCCCCTGACGGTGAAGCTAAGGGAAAGCCACTTGGTTTACCTTTCATGGAGGAGTCTCCAGATCTGAGCCCGTGACAGGGGCACAAACCCAGGGGATGAAAGAGAGTGGCAACAAAAATTACCCTACCTTCTAACAGCGCGGCACATCCGGCCCCGGCTCTGTGACTAACAAGGCAAGGCATGATGCGGGCCGTGCGCTCCAGGAGAGGGGGAAGGGAGACAACACGTGTGTCTGACAACAAAAAAAACAACCAACAACAAAAACAGAATCAACGGCAACTGTCTGAGGAGGAGCTGAATTTACTGAATCCAACAAAATCAAACAAAATGAGAGAGACGGAAGTATCCAAAATACAAGATCTCATGTTAGAAGACTGCAG